CTCATATAACACCACAGTCTTAAGAAAAAGCACAACAGTATTCAAAATGATAATTAGAGCATGCAGCAATCTACCTTTATCTCTCAAATAATAGATCTCGTCGAATATAACCCATATCACTTCTCTCGTTCTTCCTAGAACGAAAAAGTAAATTATTCTCCAATGTTAAGTCAAAGCAACAACATTTACCGGAAGGCATCCTGTGAAGCATCTCGTTGATCATGAAATTCTTCATTACCAGCTACAAACACAGAATATCGTTATTATTCGATAAGCCTGGAGCAACTTAAATACTTGCACTATTGACTTCTTAGGATGCCTTAAAACATTTTCAAACTAGATTAAATCTATAATGAAGATGCCCATTCGCAATGAATTTTATTCTGATTGATGATGATTCAGGACATTTCGGACTAGTTTAGCTCGTACCTACCGAAAAGAAAACTATCTTATGTGCATCTTACTAAACAGAGTCATCGATGTTTAAAATAGAGAGAGTAAATGTTGTCAATTTCTACATAACTCATTTTTCAATAACTTGTGAAGTTAAATAGAGAACAGGAAAAATCCTATTTTAGGTTAATTTTCTCAGAATTCAAGCACTGTTAAAGGCTCTAGTCATCTCGCTATTTCGAGAAGTATTCAAAGTCGTTCCTTACAAGTTTTTTCATCTTAAGGTTAAAATTGAATATTTTTTACCTATTCCTCTATATTGACCATCACCTCTTCTATGTGATTTGTAGTCTCCATATCGATTTTCTATATCATCTAAAATGGAAAGATTTAAAAGGTGGTATCAATACAAAGTTGTTTGACGGTAACTCACCGTACCATCCACAATCGCCACCATATGAACCAGAGCCGCTATCTTCGCGATTGCATTCTAAAATGAGTAAAGCTTTAGATAAAAAACGCGCACATTCAGTGTAAAAGCCTCAAAGAACAATGTGCTCCTTCCAGTGACGTACCCATTATTGGGTTGAGGGTGGGCCATGGCACCGCCTTAGAAAATTATTTCATACTACCTCTATTGGAAAACCGATTTTAAGAATCATAGGATGCGACAAAAATCTAACAGAAAGAGAGACCAGACCTAAATTTCACTATGGAAAGAAGAGACTTACAGAAAAAATGTTTTCCTAAAAATCACTAAAAGAAACGATTTCACTCCTCTTCGAAAAATCGTGGGTACGTAGCTGAGCCCTACACTTACTTTGATGATTCCAAAGTGGCTAAATGTTTCATATAGATCATATATGGATACATCTATACATAGATTTTGTATTAATATCGTGCCTGGTATCCCTAGTGAAAGTTTTTTTTTGATTTTTTGGCCAAGATCTTGCGTTTTTTGGGCAAGAAAGTGATACTTCTTTTTCTTGCATTTCTTGGAGACACCCTAGTGGAACTTCTTGATGCAAGTAGCTACAAGAAAGCAAGAAAAAAACAAGAAAGTGGGACACTTCTTGCAGCAAGAAATATTTCTTGCTTTCTTGGCTCAAGATCTTGTGCCAAGAAATGTAAGAAAACAATTCTTGCGTTTCTTGATCCAAG